CATCATAGCCTCCTAGGCAGATTTCATGCGGGTTCGTGGAATCGACGATGACGAGCCATGCTCTGATTTGTCATTCCATGTCGTTTCAAGTTCTCTAAGCTGTAGACACTCACGGCAGATCCGACCCTACTTAAAGCTAGTTCGCCAGCTTGAGACAGAAAAAAATCGCGAATCACCCTCCGGATTTCAACAGTAACTGTGCTCTCCCAAAATCTGATGATTTTTGCTATGATACCTAAATCTGATGATACCTAAATGATTTAGATAATTAAGTAAAAAATTACTGTAGTTAACTAAAATTCGTAAACTTTTGTTCAAAACCAGAGTCTACCCGCTACCGTGAAAAATGTGGCGGGCACTAAGAAACAATTATACAGAGACTTGAATGTCTACAGTAAGGCTGAAGGGGACACATTTTAAAATTCTGGTGATTCTGGTAAAATTCTCGTTGCGGGAAAGCAAGGTTGAAGAAAATGTGCTAAAAAATTGCTTACGCGTCCTCAGAGATCGAACTTTTCGTGGTTCGATAGTGAAAGGCAAAAAGAAACTGGACAAACCTCGAGGTAAATGAATGCGCATAATTCACAACTACCTGGACCCAAGACCTTTGATTCGCGGATGTTGTAAAACCTCTACCGCGCAGTCATTCGCTGCCCTGTTTTCAGCATAAAGTCATCGACAATTGGCTCGCTTTTCCGATACTCCGAACGACACGGGTAAGCCATGTCTGTTGAAAATCGAATATCCGCCGACGAAATGAAGAGTTACACCTGCCAGCCGCGAAGCATCTAAAATCACCGTTGCAAAAAGGGCCGTCAAACAGAAGCTAAAAAACCAAACTTTAGTTCCTTCTGCATTTACCAGATGGCGAACGAAAACTAATGAAAACTTTTTGCTGACTAATTCGAACTGACGATCGAACACGAATCGCCCAATATCATGGCCATGAATTCTGGACACAAAAAAAGGCGGTATCTGTGAGGCAAGACATCATCGCCATCGAGGTGGAAGGCACGAAATATCAGTGGGTGCTAAGCTGAACGATCACATACGAAAAACGATGAGAAGAAGAGATTAGCCAAGAATTAGGCAAAGATAAACTGCTTCAGAGCGAACTCAATATCCATCACCTGGCGCAAAGGAAAACCAGGCGTAAAAAGTGTATTTTTACCTTAACGACGTACGACTTTGCACAGTGAAGCATCCCAAATCGATAACATTTATAATTCATAAATTATTAACTAAGGACCGAAAATCTGGCGTAAAAGACCTTAAAGATAAAAACTTGTCAGACAATTAATTTTGCCTCATATAAAAAATACGCTCTTCGTCTGCTTATCGGACGTGATCTGAAATTTAGACACTGAAAAGAATAACGATTTTTAATATCGCACTCGTGTCATGCCTTTCCTAGAATAAAGACGGTAGTGTGTAAGAATTTCGTGGTAGTGAAGGGGGTAGTATCGCAATCAGTATGCTAATGATGATACGTAAGTACGTACTTGAGTAGTAATGTAAATTCATAACCCATCTGGAATTTTAAGACCCTTTAATAAATGCCACCTGTCTATTAGGTTTCTTTCATATAAGCTATGGTCCGCATCGATCTGTTTCAGTAAGCATATATAACTATAGAACATGCACAACAAAAAATGTCCTCTCTCCTTTATACACGCTATATTACTACCATTCATGCACTTCCAATGGATGAAAAGTTAGAGAATATGATTCAGGACGTTCTGAAAGTTTTATCTTAACTAAACTTTAACAATTGGCACAATTTGCGATCCCTCATATGATGCCGCTATTATCATGGCACTAAGCTTCCTTCGGTAATGCAAGGAAGGAAGTTACTGGAACACCTCGGTTCAGAAAGTCTTGTCAACAACTAGCTAACAACTATTAGATGCAGATTCCGGTCAGTATCTATCAGAACGGTAATTGTTAATGTCACTCAGAAGAGTGACGAGTACCGTACTGATTGAACAATTCAGACAGGCAAGGCTACTCGGCTAGTTCGCTGATAGCCGCATTGATTGATGCTGTGCTTACCAGTGGTCAGTCTCCCTATTGACTGCATTGTATTGCATCTTTTAGGCAACTATCTATAGTTACAAAAATCATTAAAATGCTAGCAACCGGTGATCCGATTCTTCGGTCGGTAATATGCAGGGACATCCCATATCGTATTTATTTAAGCAATCGTTATACAGTCGTCATACATTGGTCTTGTGATGAATAACTTCTTGCAGAAATGAGACTCAATTGCAGCTGTAGTCAAGAGAAGGGAAGAGGAGGTGGGTAAAATGGTGTATTTGATTAGCAGGTTGCTGCGGACGTTACAAGTGCAAGGCGCAGCTTGAGTTTTCTCTCATTAACTGATAATTCATTTGAGCAAGGATTCACAACTTTGTGCGTCGGTGCAACCAGCCAAGGTTAGCACTGTATTTTGACGAGGTCGTGTCGAAACGAATTAGATAAATAGTGATGTTGCCCCACGTGTGCCTTCTATGACTGCGATTCGCGTTCACCCAACATATAACTGAACAAAAATTAGCACAAGGTGCAAACGTGAATGTAAGTTTAAAATAAACTAAACCATAAAAATAAAAACCTAAAAAAGCTACCCTGAATCGAATATTAATTTTTAAAAGCTGTTTGAGGTCACAAATAAACTACGACGAAAATTGCTAATGTCTCTTAAACGACTTAGCAGGTGGACAAGCGTCCCTTCGCCTACTCTGTTCGTTTGTGTGAGAGCAATATAAAAAATGCAAGAAATTAAATTCTCAAATCGCAACTTCCGGTCAGAACGAAACCGAACCGTGCCAATAAAAAAAACAGGAATCACATGCATCCGTGTGAGGAAAACGCATGATGACAAGTGGTTGGTTGGTGACTGGTGGTTTACAGAAGACTACGCGGACTCCACAAGACAACCGATCGACCGATGAGACAGACCTGCGACTAGAGGACTCGCAACGGTTAACAAATAATGATTAATTAATGTCCAGTCGAGGGCGAGGAGAGAAGAGGCGAGCTAGGCGAGGCCAGGCGAGTCGAGTCACGTCTCGTGCTGTCATTGATCGAAGCGGAAGTAGGCAAGAGGCGAGGCGAGGCGAGGCGAGGCGGGGTCGGGCGCCTATCGTTCAGTGTAAAGCGCAATTGGGAAACGCGAATCGTCTGTGGAAAATAACCGGTTACCGAGAAGAACCTCGAATCGCCTTCGTCGTGTCTTAACCACTTTCCGCCCCACAATCGGCTGCCATTACCTAAATTGCCAGCCTTCAAGACGGAACGCAATTAACCGCTGGAATGTTTCAAACCCGTGAACCAGAGCTACATGTTAAAAGTGCTGACGATCCGCTGTGATGCGTCACGGACAGCAATCAAAGCATGCCGAAGCTATACTCATCGCCTTATTCAAAATCTGAAACGCCTGAACATCATCGAAAACTATGCTTGGAATTTAAACCAGCGCTGTAGCATGTTACCCGTTATACATTCGATCGGATAGGCTAGGCGGACAATGCGATTTATGATATCCACCAAATACCAAATTAAGCGAAAGAAATCCAGATTAACCCTAATGATTTTGCTGATTTTTTTCGCCATTATAGAATAACTCATAGGTAGATGCGTCCAGTCATTACGGTGCAACGTTCGCGAATTACGAATACAATCTTTTGATCTCGTATATCAAAGGATCGATGAGATCCGTGATTTTGGAGTTGAACTGTTGTGGCGACGTGTACGGATGTACGCGGTAGTACAAAGCTGTTTATCTAAAAGTATGTCCAAATCTGCATATCTTCATCTTCTCATCTATGACAATCACTAATGACCAAAGGAATGCAATGTCGCACAGAAGCGGTGGATCTGTGGATAGTTGCTGATGTTAGAGGCTCATTTACATCCAACGGTTTGACCACAGTGAACATGAGGCGAAGTCGTTTTGGGCAATCCACTAAATGACCACTGAAGGAATTTCTTGCTGCTTCTAATAAGCAGTATATGATTCTGATCAACATAAAAATTGCTGACTTACAGGTCTTGATTTTCTACGGTCAACTTTGGCCTCTCGGTCGTGCAGAGCGATCAACCAGCGAAAAGTAGCAATCGCATGACAGACCTTAGCATGGTAGTTTGTGCAAACTTCTAAAATATGAACGTCTGTCGTGAATGCGAAATAAAGAGTAAGTCCGGAAGGACAATATAACAGCGTGGTAAAATCGTTGCCTCTTAAAGCCGTTCTGTCCGGGGGATACAAACAACTCGTCATCATTCGACCCTCTGAACATACAATGACAAGTAGAGGACCGGGTTACAAAAATTCCAGAAGACGTTGGACAAATATCCCTAGCAAAGAGCAAAACCATTAGCTACGTCATTTAATCTCGAATGGTCAAAACCAGGTAAATAAGTTGATATTTCGAATCAGTGGCTCGCAGAGTAAGAAAAATGTTCGAAACTCCTCAAGTCATTATTGTCTGCCAGCATTTCAGTCACTCAACAATGAATATATTCTAGAAAAAAACCTCCAAAGTCATACGCTGCAGCAGTTTCCCACAAATTCCAAACTGTAGGTCGTCACTTCCATGAAAATGGCATGATATTCGTCACTGACACCTGTTACGTTCAACGAATGCGAATGGCGAAAGACTCACAGAACTTCTTCTATGATGACAAATAAATGACTGAAACCAAGTACTTTCTAAAAAATTGCCTGACCTACCCACCTGCGGTGTTTCTGTAACGAATCACGATGTCGTTTTAACGGCTGAATCACGACAAACCTGCAGTTCACTGAAACATATCCAAACATGATTCATGGGAACATGGTCAAAGACCAAAATTACTGCTATTCCACGTGACTGCTATAAGACAATACTTAAATCAGTTTAAATCAGCATAACGTAAACCAGGAAAACACCGCAATTCCCAGCATCACATCAGAATGGAAGCACACACAAGCTACAATCAATGGTCCTCAGGTTTTATCCCTTGGTAGGCCAGATCCCTTCGCTAAACAGAAGACTGGTGGTATCTGGTGGCACAGACAGGTACTTCCTTCAGACAGAGAAATAACGTATGCAATTATATCGCGTCGGGATTTTAAACAGGTGTTTCAAATGGGAGACCGGCGTTGTATCAGTTGAGTTCTTTTGACCATTGACTGGAGTCATCATATTATGTAAAATATTTCGCAGGTGTAGTTGCAAGATACTAAGGAACGAAGGGCCAAAGACCGAAGTTTAGCTTGCCTCATCCAGATATTAATAAAAACCTTGATGCCGTCCTGCATGAAGAGTTGATTGATAACTCATGGACCAGGCCCTAGATTTTTACCATAGTAAGTTATGTCACACCGGTGTTCTGATGGGTTTCAGTGTAACCGTTCAATATTCAATATCATGATGGTAATCGGTACATATACCCTGTTTTTGCACTGATGAGCAGAACAGCTTTTCTTGATTGTCTAAAATGGCATAAACAATAATGCCATTTAAGTTATGATAATGAAAGAAAATTGATTCAGTCAGTTTCAGCAAAAAGCATCAACTTTTGAAATCGAAATCGAAAACTGGGGCTACACCTAGCATTCATTATCGTTGACTAATCCGCTCTCACGTGGGTCACAGCGAAATGCACAAATCATGTTGCATTTGCACTGAACAATACGGTGGTACAACTCGTCCGTTCTGGCGTGACCACACCAGTATACCACGCTCTATTATTTGAAAGCCATCGGCTT